AAGAAGAAGAAAAATTCAAAAAAATCCCCTACTGTTAAATCTCCTAAAAATGTTTCAAAACAGTCATTGGTGAAGGTAAGAATTTAGTAATTTCTTCACTAGTTATTTGGCTTGTTTTAGTTGTTAAAAATCTACATAATCTCTGTTGTTTTTGCTTTGTAGTTTTTTTGTAGAAATGTAGTACATTAATTGCAAATGTATATATGTTTTGTATCACTGAATTAATGTGAGATTATTTGTCTTAGTTCTGAAGATTAATTGTAGATTTATTGATATGTTCAAAATTGTTGATATTTTGTATATTTTTTGAAGTTATTTTGTAGATAAAATACAAATGTATCTATGTTTTTAAATCAATGTATAAATGTTAGATTATATTTTTTGATTTTTGCAGAATGGATATCTTTTTGCATCCCATAATGTTGATTATGGGGTGCTTAGATTCCAGACATTATGTGACCCTAGCATTCCTAGCCAAATTAAAGATCTTTTGTCTCCAAATGGATTGAAGCTATTCAAGAAGACATGCTTTGGTTATTTACTGTCATTTCCCAATTTATGCATGCAAAATCAAGCTATTCATCTTCTTATGAAGTATGAATTGAATTCATCCGATGCTTCCTATTTTTCAGCCGAGTTAAAAGGTGAGAGGTTAAATTTTGAATTGAGAGAGTTTGCAGTAATAACTGGTCTTAGATGCCATACCGAGGTGACAGACTTTGGTTACACTCCTAATTATGTCAGTAAGATAATGAGCAGTTACTTTCCAAACAAGGTGAAAGTGGAGAAGACATACCTAAAACAGATAGTAACCAACAAAAGCTGGGTAAATGATGAGGATGCAGTAAAGTTATGTATTCTATATCTCATAGAATTCTTCATATGTCCTTCAGAGAGAGATCATATTGGGTTGGTAGATCATTTTAGGTTTTATTTGGTGGAATCCGGTTAGTACGAGACATTTTCATGGGGTATTCAGTCTTATAGACAGTTGATTGAATCAGTTAGGCACACGCTAAATCCTTTCGTTCATTCTTATCTCATTCGAGGATTCCCACTAGCCATGCAAGTATGGTTGTATGAGTGTTGCTCCTCCGTCAACACTGATATAGCTACAAGAATTTCTAATTCAATCCCTCGCATACTTAACTGGTCCGCTAGTAAGGGTCAGATTTGGTTAGCTGCAATTGAAGACAAAATGATCAAGCCTGAATGGATGAAGGTAAATGGTTCTTATTTATGATTATACAATTTAGATACAAAATATCTACAATTTTGTATACATATTCTGCCTTAATCAAGCTAATTTTTTTTTTTCATCATTCAGTTCACCAACATAAATGAATCACCTGAAGAGCTTTCAGTGATGTCTTTGCCTGGTAAGTTGACTACATAATTGAAGAGGTTGAACATGTTTCTGAGGCTCCCAAAGTTGATGCTCCTCCATTGGAACCCAAAGAACCAATTGGAAAAGAGGAAAAGGACTATATTCTACGTAAAATAAGAAATTTAAAAAAAGGTCTTCAGAAGGTAACATGTATTCCTAAACATCATTGTGATGTATATATAATAGTGCATCTTTTAATTAATGTATGTTAAGAAATATTCTGTAAGTTAACTATGTATTTTTTTTTCTTGTAGGTCGATGAAAAGCTGGAAGATTTTAGGAAAGATGTATTTGAAGAACTAGGTAGCCTTCGAGACCTAATAAAGGAGTCAGTCAAGACTGTTTTGCAGGTGATAAACAGTCCAAATGATCAAGTTGATGCAAAGGTAACATTTGAATTTTATTCATATTAACAAAACTATTTATGTCACCTCTACAATATATATCCTAACTAATATAGAACTTTCAGTTTGCTGGGAGTTCAACCAAAAATAGTGACCAACCAAAAGATATGAACAATCAGCAATTTCAGTTCAATAGTGGAGTACCCGGGCAGGTCAGCCCCAGCAAAACATGTATCTATAAAATAACTCCATTTTATCTACAATTATATACAGAATATCTACAAAATATCTACAAGTTATCTACATTATTTTCTCCAATTTGTCTACATTACATATACAAATCTATATCTAAAAAAAACATTATATTGGCACAGCTCTACAGATTTATATAGATCTTACAACACACCTACATATCTTCTTAAACTGTCAAGATTTATCCAATATGATTTATCAATGTTAATGAAAAAAACAGAAAATAGTGAAGGTGCACTTGGTGAAGAGGTTCATCCAGCACGTGTCGATTTATATACACATTTTGAAGGTGCAGTTGATGAAGAGAATGCAAGTATGAAATTGTATTCAGATATATTTGCTTTATGTTTCAATATTTTTACCATTATATTAATTTAGATAGACATGGTGTTACAGAGAGGGAAGATATGCATACATGATCTCCAATTCACGGAGTGACAGTAGCAGCTCAAAGTGAACAGCAGAATGAGGAAGACGACAACGTAAGTGAAGAGGCAGAGTATGTGAATGTAGGTGATTCAGAAGACTCTGGAGCTGAGAAGAAGGAGGTTACACTCGATGATTTCGAACTGCCTAATAACTTCTCCCAGTTGGTTAAGTTCGGCAAGCCTATACAAGATGAAACAACACCGTGCATCAAGGTAGAACAAGGCAGCCGGGAAAGCATGTCCGATCACCATTTCTCCCTTTATACAGTTCTGGTGGCAGCAGCTCGGTTGGACCTCAAATTTTTCACCTCAAGCACTCATTTACTAGTGTTATTGGTGAAGATCTAGATCCTGAGTTGGTAGATGAATTCCAGAAGTGGTTATACCACTCTACCGACAAAGGTTCAAAGAGGTTAGTTTGCACAATTTGACACTTTTATTCCAGTATTCATCTTTTACATATCCACTTCATTCAACAATTTTATTTTAATTTCTATTTGTTTATATAGGAGGAAGGCTTCATATTTTATAAAGGACAACCAAATTAAGCCATGGTTGGATCTTGGAGTGGAAAAGTTTGACAAGAAGGAGTGGTTCTATTCCCTGGCACACCCAGGACAAGTCCTCAATGACTTTGTAAGATTCAATGTATTTGATTTGTAGATATTTTGTAGATAATTTGTAATTAAATTATTGTATGATTGTTAATGCTTTGTATACTGACTGTAGATGAATTGTAGTTATTTTGTAGTTTTGTATAGATTATTTGAAGATAACTTATAGTATAAATGCAATCTGTTTTTGTTGCAGCACATTAATGTTATAATGTATTACTTGAGGAAAAGAGGCAAGTATGGCCCCCACAACAACACCAGGTTTACTACAACAGATTTTTTGTTCAAGACTAGGATTGATCAAATCTATGAAAAGTTCCAAAATTCTCCTCAAGAAAAGAAGTTTTCTGTTGTCAAACCCCATGACGTTGTAGTAGAATATATATTGGGGTATAGACTACTCGCAAATGTTGCACGGGATGAAGTTGATTATGTCATCATGCCCATCAACATTGTAGAAAAATTCCACTGGGTGTTGGTTGTTTTTGATATTGCAGAAAGGCAACTTTATGCGTATGATTCCATGGTCTCTTCACGCAATCACCCTATTGTTGAATCTTGTGTCGAGAAGTTTTCTGTTATTATCCCTTTGTATTTGTCATGCACCGGTTTTTATGGGAAGTGTAAAGATATCAACTTCAATAATACAAAGGCATACATTGAGAAACCTGTTACCGACCCTCTTAACATTCAGTGGATCGTCGGAGAGATACCACAACAAAAGAAGGATCACTGTAACAAAAATCTTCTTTCTTTCTTTACATTTAACTCTTTTTTCTGATTTTTTGGTAAATATTGACCTTTTTTTTTTATCTTTTGCAGCGATTGTGGTGTATTTGTTGCTGCCTTTGCAGAGTACGTTAGTCTTGGAGAGTTATCAATTCCGCATGAAGACCTTTCTGATATTGACCAACACCGTAGACGCTATAAAGCACTACTTTGGGACTATGCTAGAAAGAAGCAGGAGCATGGTGCAATTAGTGAAAGTGAGGTGACAGGCAAATTGGCAAGGAGAAAAGGTGCACCGGCTTTGAATGAGAAAACATGAGTCCAGAGGAAGAAGAAGTAGTTGTAATGTTGATGCTAGTTTAGAAGATCAAGTATAGTTGTTTAGTTGATGCTAGTTTAGAAGAAAGATGGTAGATAAGTTTTTGAACAATTTTTGTTGTTTTAATTGTAGCAGACTTGCGCTACAATTATAGTAGCCTTTGATTTTTTTTCTTATCCAGTATAGTATCAAATGGAAATATTCTGTTGGTTTTATATTCACTTGTTCAATCTTTACGTACTTGATCTTCATTAATTTTAGCATATAAATCCTTTCCACTTGAATTTTTATACAGTTATTCTGTCAACGCAAAAAATATGTAGTTATTTTGTTGTTTTTTGTACATAAAGTGTAAAAATCACTAACTAAACATTTTGTTGCTTTTACATTCAATTTGTTGAATGTATAAAGTACCTGATCTACATTATTTTTAGCATATAGCTTCTTTCTAGCTTAATTACAAGATATCTATCATGTCAGCTACAGGCATTTTAGTTTTTTTGTAGTTGCATTTGTATATAATTTGTAGATAATATTTAACAATGTGTTTTTTCTTTTATATTCATTTGTTGAATGCAAATTCTACTTGATCTACAATATCTTGGTATATATCTACTTTCCTACTGATTTATAGTGTAGTTACTCTGTAAATTCCAGTTAATATTTTTTTTTGTAGTTTTATTGTAGATAAATTGCAAAAATAATTTAACAACTGTGCAAAGGATTCATGATATAGAAAAAAGTGGTAGATTATATATATAGAAGCCATCCATAAACAAATCACTCTATGAAAGTATTATCTCAATAATGAAAAATCCTAACTAACTACATTATGATCTTCAAAAACCTCAAGAATTACACATCAAAACCTGTTATCCTTAACTCACCAACAATCTTTATGCAATATTCTGTTAACTACATAAAATTTTATTTCTTTTTGGGTGCATTCTTGCAAGATCTTTTGTTATGCCCTTCTCCCCCGCAGTTGCCACATGAAATCTTGTACTTCTTTGGATTTATTTCATCATATGATTTGTATCTTTCTTTTTGAGGTCTTCCTGGCTGCCTTTTCCCTCCTGTAGGTGGCTTTACTACTTCTTCAGATATATGTTGTGGCACATTCCATTTGCTTTCATCAGGCAGGGGATTTACTGGTATTTCATAAGTACGCAAGAGGTTCGCCCTTGTGTAATAAGGAGAACAATATTCTTCAAAAGACTCATCTCTGTGTCTTAAAGCAGCCAAAGCATGTGGACAAGTAATTTCATCAAGCTGGAATTGCCCACAACTACATCTCTTGTTTTCAAGACAAACAATATAGCGCCTCACACCATCTAGTACTGTATGGACGTAGTCTGTTGAAGCCCTCACCTACGATTACATTACAAAAAAAAATCATATACGGTTAAACTCAAGCTATATACAAAATATCTTCAAAATATCTACAAAATATCTACATTGTCCTGTAAAAATTAATTTGTTTCAGTAAAAGATCAGATCTTACTCCAAGCTTGTGCGACAATGTTCTGTTGTCATCCAACTCTTTGTTGAATTTGTATCCAAGGTATGTGAATGTACCTTTTGCTTTCAATAACTTTTCTTTCGTCCAACGTTCAAGAAGGGTCCTCATATACTCTAATAGTTCTACTATCGGCAGCTCTCTTGCATATTTTGTTACAGCATTCAACAACTCTGCAATGTTTGATGTCATAGTCCAAGTTCTGTTCACCGTAGAATGTACTCGGGACCATCTATGATAGCCAATATCGTATAAGTATGCTTTAACACGGGGTCAATCTCCTCAATTTTTGACATCCTTTCATTAAATTCATCAAGTGTGTATGACCGTGCCGTGGCAAAGTATAATTCACTTAACTTAAGATGTCCCTTCTTGAACTTTGCCCGTATATTTGTCCAAATATGCCACATGCAAGAATAATGTGGCATGCCGGGATAAACAATAGATGTTGCCTTCAAGATACTCTCATTCCGATCCGAAACAACACACATATTTGGTCTTTCACCATACGCGAGTTTGAATTGCTCAAAAAACCACTTCCATGATGCGTCATTCTCTGAATCAACAACAGCATATGCCAATGGTAATATGGTACCTACATTATGTGGCAAGAAGCAATTAATTGGCTGCAGTAAAAATGCAGAGGAAGA